CTCCTCCATTCTCCTCTTTGAATTTTGGACACACACACACACACACACACACACACACACACAAACATGCCAGTGTGAATTTTAAGCCACCAGGGCCAGGACTTGAACCACTGTCAACTACATAGAAGTCCAGAGACATAACCACCATGCCATCTGCTGGTCCCATCATGGCATTAACTTCTAAATACCAAAAATGTAACTCTACTCACTGAAACATTAAAATATAGAGACCAGGAGATGACTTAGTAGTTACATCACTGGACTCCCACACGGCTGACCATGGTCTAAGTCCTGGATTCAGTGGCTTGAAAATCATGCCAGGCCCGTGTGCAGGCATGCCCAAGATTCCAGAAGAATGGAGAAGGGACTGCGGCACAGCGATCCCCTTTGAGGGATGCTTTCTCAATTTCCCTCTCACTGTGTCTCTCTCTCCAGTAAGTGCACACGACCTAAGGCAAAAACCGCTAAAAAAAATTAAAATTATATAAAGCATAGACATGTTCTATTTTGTTCACTTCTCTTAACATAAATCTTCAGGTTGACAAACAGAACCTATTAAACATTCCATTTTTCTTTTGGACAGCAAATCATCAATTTTTTTCACTTCTTATCATTGTCATTACTGGTTACCTAAAGTATAAAAACTAAGTAGAAACTGAGGACAATACCCAGACAATTTGCTCAAAAATGGCTAAATTTGAATTGCTCATATAATTAGTCCAAAATCTAAATTGATCTGTTAGTATAAAACTACTTTCAAAAAGATTTCCTTTACAAATATACTTTATTTCACAATCAACTATTTAGCAAAACTTTGCATCTCTAATCATAAGAATTCCTACACTGTAGTAATGTTTTTCAGAGCTAGTATTTCTGTGGGACAGACAATATTTAAAGTAATTTTTTAAAAATAATTGCCAGAGGGCACATGTGCTCTGTAGAGACAGAGAGAGAAAGAAAGCAGCCCCTCCTGGGGCATGGTCATACTGCAATCTCTTCACCCCTATTTCTCCATCTTTTCAGGATTTTCTTTCTCAAGTAACCAATGCCATGACTTGAACTACAGACAGCCATATAGAATTCAGCTCCCCTAACCACTAGACCACAGGGCCAGCCTTAAAGCAATATTATGTTTTAACTGTGTGAATCTAATTTTTTTTTTTTGAGAGGTTTTCGCTATAAGGCATGTGCGCTCGCCAGACAGACAGAGCGAGACATAGAAACAGAAAGCGAGAAATCACCCCCCAGGGGGGATGGTCACGCCGCAATCCCTTCTCCTCCATTCTACTCTAGGGATCTTGGGCACGCACGCACACGTGCCCGGCATGAGTTCTAAGCCACCGGGTGCAGGACACAAACCGCGGTCAACTACATGGGAATCCAGCGACACAGCCATTACGCTAACTGCTGGTTCCCCGTGAATCTAATTGTTAAACACACAGATGGAGACTATGGTTACTTTCTTTTCTGAAAAGAATATAAAAAAAAAAAATTAAAAAAAAATTAAAAAAACCTCAAAACTGAATTACCTTGAGTCCTGACATCAGACAGAATGACTTGGTATACTTCTTTCTCCTCGGGAATGTTGTCATCCAGCAAATGCACAAATATTGTTTTATTCAGTGAACCCTATGTCAAACAGAGAGAAATCCATTATCAGTGAACACAAACTATCTCCTGCTTTAATCGGCCTTATAAATTATGCATCCAAACATATTTTCATTTAAAGAAAGAGTTCCTGGAGCTTAGAAAAAAACTAATTAAAAAAAAATAGTCCATTGTAGAAGATCTTGAATGCTGAGCTAATGAATATAAATCTTATGTAAGGAACAAAACAGCACTATTAAAAATTTTAGAAAAGTGGGACCAGCAGATGGCACAATGGTCGCCTATGGATCAAGTTCCAGACCCAGCGGCTTGAAACTCACTCCAAGCGCATGTGCATGCATATATGCCCAAGATCCCGAGAGGAGGATGGAGAAGAGATTATGGCATGGCCATCCCCCCACCATGGGGAGATTCTCTCTTTCTGTCTCACTGACAAGCACATGCACCCTACAGCAAAAATCTATCTGAAAAAAAAAAAATTAAAAACTAAAATTAAAAAATTTTAGAGAAACAGTAAGTTGGTCATTGCTATAGCACTGATGACTAGCAAAAATCGGAGCAGGGACCAGAAGATCAGCGCTTCAAGTATACCAGTTTTGAGAAGTCCAATATAGTGCACAAGACAGAGTTTATAAAGGCTCGGCTTATAATCAAGGCAGAGGAAATGAAGAAAAGAATTAAATACATCATTCAAAAAGAATTCAGGGGGCCAGCAGACAGTGTAATGGTTACGTTGCTGGACTCCCACGTAGTCAACCACAGTTTGAGTCCCCACCTGGTGGCTTAAACTCACGCTAGGTGTATGTATGTGCATCCCCAAGATCCCGAGTGGAGAATGGAGGAGAAGGGATTGCACTGTAGCCATCCCCCCAGGAGGTGATTTCTCACTTTCTATCTCCCTCTGTCTTAACAGCGAGCACATGCGTCCTATAGCAAAAATCTCTCTTAAAAAAAAAAAAAAGAATTCAGATCAAGCAGGTGTGGAGGAACGAGAGAGAAGAAAGATGATAACTACAGTACACTGGTGCTGATTTTCTATCCTATTTTCCTCAAAAATAGTTTTTTTCTACATATGTGTGGTAAAGCTTTTCTTGAGGCAAATAGAAGAGAAGGGATTGCATCGTGGCCAACCCCCCTGGAGGTAATCTCTCACTTTCCCTCTCTCTCTGTTTCTGTGTGTGTCTCTCTCTCTAGCAAGTGCATGTGCCTAATGGAGAACATTTTAAGAAGAAAAAAAAAGCTTTTCTTTGTGGTATTACCTCAGGAAAGAAGAGTTGTCCAGTAAAGTTAGCAAAATTGAGTTCTAGGTTTTGTCCAATAATTTTCCAATTAACAGTAACATTTCCTCGACCAGGGGGTGTTCTTATCACATGAAATTGCAAAATTTCTCCTGCAAGTAAAATGTATGGATTGAAAAAAGCAAATTGGGAAGTGAACTTTACATATGAACTCAACAAAACCCAAATCCCAAGCATGCAACTATAATGGCACCTTTTCCAAGAACATTACAAAACTGTTCTGTTTTAAACTGTCTAAAAGCTGTACACATGCTTATAGTTTATTAACACAAGAATTCCACTTCTAAACACTTCCATTTATAAACTTTATGAAATTCAATATAAAAAAGTTACACAATCACATGCTGACATGGGAAGCACAAACTTGTATACACTCCAAAACATGCACCAGAACGTGAGAGTTCTGTAAATCTAAGACAGTAACAGAGTCTGCATAATCAAAACTAATCATTACACAAGTAAATTCTTCCTCCACCTCTCAAAAGGACACAAATTCCTTACACTGATTTGCAATGTGATTTTACACAATGCATGCATAAAAATGCTTGCAAATACCTGAAAATCACATTTCTTTGGATTGTCACTTACATATACCATCAATGATATTGTTTTATAAAAAGAAATACAAAGGAAAGGTGTCAAGTCTAGATATCAATGTCTGTAACCACCAAAGTTACAGTTTTCCTTCCTGGGTAAGTGAGATAGTCTAGATACTTTCCATTCCTAACTCTTACGCCCATGTAATACTTTGTAAAACTGAAGACAAATCATGATAGGCATTTCTTTCCAATTGCTCTAAGCAGGAAGCCAGCTGCTACTGACAATGTTCATGACCAGGCAGCTTGCTGAAAAGAAGCTCAATTCACTAGTTTGATATCATGATGAACACAGGGTAAACTAATTAATTCTATTACTAAAAATTATTATGAACAGATCAACAGAATGATGTTTCAAAGACTTTTAAATAGTCTTCTTATTCAAATTGTGTAGTACAGGCATATAGCTAAAGCCCATAATCTTTACTAAAAATGTCACTTTTACTTAGTTATTCAAATAAAATCTTCCAACACTTTTGAACTAGGGGAAACGAAGTAAAACAATAAAATAGAAGCACTCTTTCAAAATAGTTGCTAAATTACTAAATTTTTTTCCTGAAGATAACATATCTAAACAAATTTCTCTAGTAGAAAATTTTCTTAACTAAAAATGTCATGGATTAGTTCATTTTAAAAACTGTATTCATTTTAATTATTAGGAAACATTAAATACATTTTTCACACAGATTTTAAATATACATAACTTTAATACAATAAATTATTTTGGAAGAGTGAAGAATATAAGAAGGCAAAACCACTAAAAAATGTTTTCAAAACACATTTTTAAGCATTTCAATACCAATAAAATGCTGTCACCGTTATATTATGAGACTATAGAGTTAAAAAAAAAAAGTGTAGCAACTGCTAGTTAGGAATCAGATTGTTCAAAAGTTACGATAAAACTGAAAGACTCCATACAATTACCCATGATGGCCAAAATAACTATTTTAAACTTTTATATTTATATAACTCAGATGAACAAAATACAATATATTGTATAATATACGAAGTTTCTTCTAGAGCGAACATGCATTAAAAACAAGGAAAAGCACAGAGAACTTTAGTTATTAAACTGTTTCCCCCAGAATATTGTCAAGTGATACAAATGTAAAGATTTATAGTGATAGTTTCCAAATTTTTTTTAAAAAGTCACAAATTCTGGAAACAGTCCAAAAAAAAAAAGAAAGTCTGATCCATGACTAAAAGTGCTAAGGGAGCAGAAATGCTGAGGAGACAAGGTGTACGTCAATAAAGATCCATGGTGAAAGAGAACAATATTTTTTTTAATATGGTTGAAAATTTGTACCTAGAGATTTTTGAATAGAAAATTTCATTTTAAGGTGAAAATAAAAGTAAAACGCTGAGGAGAGAAATGAGTAAAACCTTCTAACAAACTTACCACATGGAAAAATTCTCATAGTCTCATGCTATTAAATACATAATCACCTCTGAAAGTTTAACAAGTTACCATGGAAGTAACTTGCAAGAAAATAATGCAGAAAACACAACTGGAAGCATCTCTCTCTCTCTCTCTCTCTCTCTCTCTCTCTCTCTCTCGTTCACTCACACACACACACACACACACACACACACGCACATGCACACACACACAAGCACATAATGAAAAAGTAAAGTAGGCCTAAAACACATAATCTTGTTAGCCTTATGCAAATTTATCATGTCAATAGCAAGCCCAAGCCCAGTAAGAAAATTATTCTAGGCAATAATCAAATTGGAGCTATTGTCTCTGCTTCTTTAAGGCAGACTCCCAGGAGCCAGGTCCACGTAAAATGTTCCTGGAAAAAATGGGATATACTAAAAGGCTACCTTCTACCTGAGTAAGGAGTCCATGAACTGCTATAGGAAACAGAAAAAGTTAGAAACAAGTGTGTAGTCTTTTAAGTCTAAGGGGACAAAGAAAAGACAATCATAGAGCATGTAGATATTAAACTGCCTTTAAGGCTTTGCCCATGATGAAAGCCAAAAGAGGAACCTCATCGACCAGCAAGTATGACTACACTGCTGGAAGATCAGGGTGACAGGAACTCCTCAGAGTCCACCAAGTGCTGGTGACACATTTTAACTCTAAAATAAAAGGTCTCTCATACAGTGTCTGGGCCTAGCATAATGCAGATAAAGAATATGAATGAAAAATGCATTTTAATAACACTGAGAGCTTCATCCACCTCTTTGCAAAAGCAGGACTCTTACCAACATAAACACCAACTACGATGTATACAGAAACAATGGAAAAGCAAAAGACAGAAAACATATTTTAATAGACACAGGTATGCAGGGCATACATGTACCATCCAAACTGACTGCCCTTTACAACATAAAGGAAATTGTTGAAAACAATGATCAGAATATGAATAATGGGAGGTACACACTGTCACTAGGGACAGTTTAGGGGCAAAGTTGAGTGTCTCTAACACAGCACTTCTGTAAATTTTTTAAAGAATCACATTTCTTGTTCAAATCTTTGGGTTAAAAAGATTCATGCTGCCTCTAACAAAAAGAAAGTTTTAAATCCATTGACCATGGCACAATGATTACGATGCTGCTGAGTCGGGTGACTGAGTGGAAACATGTAATACAGATTTTATAAAGTGCATTTATACACATTTGCAACCACAGTGATAGCCACTGTGCCATATTTCTAAATTCTGCCCATTATATGGTTGAAAATTTGTACCTAGAGATTTTTGAATAGAAAATTTCATTTTAAGGTGAAAATAAAAGTAAAACGCTGAGGAGAGAAATGAGTAAAACCTTCTAACAAACTTACCACATGGAAAAATTCTCATAGTCTCATGCTATTAAATACATAATCACCTCTGAAAGTTTAACAAGTTACCATGGAAGTAACTTGCAAGAAAATAATGCAGAAAACACAACTGGAAGCATCTCTCTCTCTCTCTCTCTCTCTCTCTCTCTCTCTCTCTCGTTCACTCACACACACACACACGCACACACACACGCACATGCACACACACACAAGCACATAATGAAAAAGTAAAGTAGGCCTAAAACACATAATCTTGTTAGCCTTATGCAAATTTATCATGTCAATAGCAAGCCCAAGCCCAGTAAGAAAATTATTCTAGGCAATAATCAAATTGGAGCTATTGTCTCTGCTTCTTTAAGGCAGACTCCCAGGAGCCAGGTCCACGTAAAATGTTCCTGGAAAAAATGGGATATACTAAAAGGCTACCTTCTACCTGAGTAAGGAGTCCATGAACTGCTATAGGAAACAGAAAAAGTTAGAAACAAGTGTGTAGTCTTTTAAGTCTAAGGGGACAAAGAAAAGACAATCATAGAGCATGTAGATATTAAACTGCCTTTAAGGCTTTGCCCATGATGAAAGCCAAAAGAGGAACCTCATCGACCAGCAAGTATGACTACACTGCTGGAAGATCAGGGTGACAGGAACTCCTCAGAGTCCACCAAGTGCTGGTGACACATTTTAACTCTAAAATAAAAGGTCTCTCATACAGTGTCTGGGCCTAGCATAATGCAGATAAAGAATATGAATGAAAAATGCATTTTAATAACACTGAGAGCTTCATCCACCTCTTTGCAAAAGCAGGACTCTTACCAACATAAACACCAACTACGATGTATACAGAAACAATGGAAAAGCAAAAGACAGAAAACATATTTTAATAGACACAGGTATGCAGGGCATACATGTACCATCCAAACTGACTGCCCTTTACAACATAAAGGAAATTGTTGAAAACAATGATCAGAATATGAATAATGGGAGGTACACACTGTCACTAGGGACAGTTTAGGGGCAAAGTTGAGTGTCTCTAACACAGCACTTCTGTAAATTTTTTAAAGAATCACATTTCTTGTTCAAATCTTTGGGTTAAAAAGATTCATGCTGCCTCTAACAAAAAGAAAGTTTTAAATCCATTGACCATGGCACAATGATTACGATGCTGCTGAGTCGGGTGACTGAGTGGAAACATGTAATACAGATTTTATAAAGTGCATTTATACACATTTGCAACCACAGTGATAGCCACTGTGCCATATTTCTAAATTCTGCCCATTACACTTGGAAGAAGGTAATATTTTCTACTGGGCATCTCTCCGATCGCTTTAGGACAAAACAGAGAAATAGGATTTTACAAAATCCAATACAATGTTAAACACCAAGGCAATTCCTCCCCATGAATCAAAAATGCATCCTAGAGCCAGCAGTTCAGCATAGTCCACATTTTAAATCTAATCACATACATGAAGCTTCAACATTAAGCCAAAAGCACTATTAACATTTTCAAAGCCCACATGGCATGACTCTTTTTTTTCACCCCATTTGTTAGCAGTTATCTTTGAAGAATCACCATGAAGTTCTCATTAATTCACTTTGGTAAACTCATCTTTATACACATCTCTTCTTGAAACTTTTCGTGGCAGTAAAAAGGATATATACACACATACACGAAAAACTGAATTCCAGAGATTCAATATATTTTTGAAAAAGTTAATTTAGACTCTAGGAAAAGGTTTAAGAATAAAAGCCAAATAAGCAAAAATGAAATAATCCTCCCCAATTTTTATGAAGAAAATGCAAAAAGTCTGGGGAGCAGTCTTGCAAGCAATAAAGGCCAGTAGGTGAAAGCTTACTTCCTGTACCAGACTCATGCTCACAGACTATATGCTAAAGTAGATTTTCAACCAGTGATACATTTGTGTCATTTGTTTTACTTACTAATCCTTTTTTCTCTTTGCATCTCCTGCAAATATCTAGCTGTTGGACACTGAAGAGGCCACAATATGGTTTTCTTTTTTTTTTTTTTTTTGAGAGGTTTTTGCTATAGGGTGCATGTGCTTGCCAGACAGACAGAGACAGAGAGACAGAAAGCGAGAAATCACCTCCCTGGGGGGATGGCCACACCACAATTCCTTCTCCTCCATTCTCCTCTCGGGATCTTGAGCATGTGCACAAAGACACCCAGCGCTGAGTTTTAAGCCACAGGGTCCGGGACTTGAACTGTGGTCGACTACATGGGAGTCCAGTGACATAGCCATTACGCTAATTGCTGGTCCCAAGAGGCCACAATATGGTTTTCCAGAGAGGTTCCATCAAACCAAAAAGAACACAAGTGCCAGTGTGTATACTTTCTCCAAGAAAGTGGACCTGGGGTACCCAGGAGAGCCTTAGTGTCTTCACAGTCCCCCATTCTGCCACAGCCCTCACCACCCAAACTCTCAGAGCACGTTCACATGAGATGTCTTTACAGTTAAAAATCTCTTTAAATTGATGACCCACGCATTCAAATTGTTTTGTGTTCTTTACAAAAGTAATTCTATCGTTTTGCTGAAAATTATATGCCTAATCTAGCTCTGTCTTTCCTTAAATTTAATCTATTCCTTCCAGGTTTCTGGTATTTATAGCCTGCATACCGCTTACACCTTGAGTCTCTTCTTCTACATTATTTTTCTCTCTGTTATTTCTTAAACAAAGACAAATCTGAAATACTCCTCTTAAAATCCATTTTCTCAAATGTTTCTTTTTCTCCTTTATCTTCCAGTCAATGAGCAGTGCTTCTCAAAACTTTATGCCATGAAAACTGTATGATTTTTAATAATTATTTTATTTACTTAACTTTATGTATTATTGTTATTATTATTTTCCAGTTTGATCACAGGGAGAGAGAGAGAGAGAAAGGGAAAGTGAGAAAGCAAGCCACTATGTCCAGGTCTTGAACCATGATCGACCATGTGGTAGTCCAGTGCCTTTAACCACCACACCACACCCTGAAACTATGTTTTTTGATGGTGTGTTTTGTTTACCTTAATCCTACACAGACTGACACTTTTGCAAAACAACAATAAAATGAATGACTGGTTAAATAGCAAAAAGAACACATATAAAACACAAGCTACAGATACTGCTTCTGATACTACAAAAAAGTGAAATTATTATGAAAGTGTCTAATTTTATCTTGTCATAGACCAGTCACAAATGCTTTATAAAAAGGTGTCCTCAGAGGACCACCTTTTGACGAGCGCCCTGAAGACCTCTCAGTCCTGTAGTCAGCTTAGATATTAGCTCCCTGTCTCCAACAGTTACTATGGTTTCTCTAGCCCAGTTGGGAATATACTCTCACTTGCTGGTCATCTTAGTATGAAACGTTAGTTACTTCCTTTTTCTAGTAACTGCCCTTTCTTCCCACCTTTCTGGCAGCCTTCTCTCCCTCCTCTCCCAGAACCTGGGCCTGGTGTTATTCCATGTGGCTCCATCCCTGGTAGCCACTAGCTAACCAGCTTCTCTTTCTCTTTCCACATATTCATTTTCCTGATATCAGCTATCAACTCAAAACATCCACTTTCCATCTCTAACCTGAGATAGAGTCAGGCTCTCTCGTGAATTTCCCCCTTTCACACAGATACTGCTACTCAAATTCATTGTACTTCCAACTCAAATCACTTTATGTATCTACCCACAACCTCTGCATTGACAAGTTCTACAGCTGACACAAGTTCAAGCAAAACAGTCTCTCCTCACAAGGTGCCTTGTGATGTGGGCTTTGTATTGTGGCATAGCTGGGTTTAAGCTCCACCATTGAATGTGCTAGTTTCTCTCAAGCTCAGTTTCCTCACGTGAATATTTGGTGTATTCTAGTATATCTACTTCATGGAACTGCTTTTAAAATTAAAAGTGAATCAGCAATGTGCAGAATGGGAGAATATATTTGCAAACTATGCCTCAGATAAGGGGCTAATAACTGAAATATACAGGGAACTCAAGCAGCTCACCCAAAAAAAAGAAAACTTTTATCAATCCAATTAAAAGATGGGCAAATGAGCTGAATAGACAATTCTCTAAGGAAGACATAAACTGCCAAAAAACCTATGAAAAAATCCTTAGCATTCCTTATCATAAGAGAGATGCAAATCAAAACCACAAAGAGATACCACCTAATCCAAGACAGAATGGCTAAAATCAAAAGTAATAAGTGCTGGTACGTTTGTAGTGAAAAAACTCGCCTATACTGTTGATAGGAATGTAAATTAGCACAGACTTGTGGAAAACAACATGGAAGTTCCTCAAAGACCTACAATTAGAACTACCATATGATCCAGCAATTCTACTCCTGGATATCTACCTAAAGGCTAGGAATATACTCCATCAGAAAAGTACTTGCACATTCATGTTTATTGTAGTATTATTCACAACTGTCAAGACATTGAACCAACCCAAACATCCACAAACAGATGAATGAATTGAAAACTGTGGCACATATACATTATGGAATACTACTCAGCCATTAAAAAAAAAGACCCTGGCAGAAAGTGAATAAAAATGGGAGTTTTATTGCTAAGCAAAGCAAGCCAGACTATGAAAAAGAGGCACTGTATGTCCCCATTCAATATATAACAAATGTCTGCACTCTATGGCAGAAACTGAAAGACTGGAAGATATAAAAGCATAGAGACTAATTTTAGATATCAGAGATAATGTGGGAGGAAGATGGGAAATGGGGGAAAGTGAGAGAAAGGGAATCAAGAGGAAAAGGAAAAACAAACATTTAAGGGACACAGAAAAGGAAAATTATCTGTTGATGATAACATACATGATAGTATTTTTAACTGGACTAATATGCAGTGTATTCTTGCTGGGAAAATTCATTTTGCATCCTGTAATGATATACAGTGATTGAATGTATAAAAAAAATATATAAAAAGATATGCAGTGATTATATACAAATCATAAATTATAATAAATAATGAAGAAAATTAAGAGAAATAATGGATGTAGAGTGTCTAGAACACAGAAACATTCCATAAATGTTATTGTTTTATCACTATTATTTAGATTACTCCTTTAGTGACTTTTTACTTGTATTATGTTAAAATTAATTCTTTGACAGTTAGTGATCTCTCTTTAGATGGAATTTACAGAGATTTGTTAGTCACTTTTACTTGTTGCTATGGAAACATCTAGTTCTAAATTATTAATAAAAGTAATTAAGAGTCTTGAAAAATGGCTCAAACATCTGCATAAGTAAAACAAACTGGCAAGTTAGTTGTAGGATAAGGGGAAAGGTGGCAGATGTACTAAAACGTACTTCGATCTGGCACAGCCACTAACGAGCTATCTGATCTTCTCAAATTACTTAATCGCTCTGTGTCTGCTTTGTTTTCTCACATCTGAAAAATGAAGATCCAAATATAAGACCTATATCCCTATCATTTTTTTTTTTTTTTTAGTTCTACCAGATAAAATTATTTTTTCAAATCCCAAATACAGGCTGGTCAAACATAGGCCATAAATTCCTTTTTATCTTACAAAACAAGATTATTCAAAGACAAAAACACTATCACAATGTTTTAAACAGACGAAACTTAACCTATATATGCAAAACTCTCTATATATGACATAAATTATTAAGTAAAGATTTGAGAAAGTTATTGTTTTTTTCTTTAAGAAAAAGAATGGACATTTTCTAACGTTTTCTAGTTTGGCACTTTGTTAATAAAATATGCAAGCACAATAAAAAAATCTAGGCTAAACTCTTCACCAATTTTAAAATATTGTTTGTTTTTAACAGGGGTCAACGTTTCACTGTTAAGCTCAACAGCTACCACTGAGCACATACCGTGCTCACCAGGAACCATGCTAAATGCTTCGTATTTATGAGCTCGCTTAGTCCTCGCAGAGAAACCATTGAAGGAACTAATGTTTTCTGTCACGTAAGATGAGAAAGCTGAACATTCCTTAAAATCACACCATTGGGAAATGGCAAGCTCGAATGCAGTATCGGTGTGCACAACTGCCTCAATCCAGCTAAACAGCTCACCATAGTCCTCCCCCAAATAAATTCTTGCAGATTCACACACACAGCTCAACAAAGTAATGAAAGGGGAGAAACAAACAAGGTTTAAAAGACTAGACAAAAAATCACATCCAAGGAAAAAAGAGTGAATATGCTCAACCAAAAGAGGAACCCACCTTCATGACCTATGACGGATCTGGAAGCTGTCTGAAAGCTAACAATTCCTGCCACATTGTCATTGGCCAAAATGTTCACAGTAACAGTGTCGGAGCTGGGCAGAATCCTGCTTCCACCTTCAGTGTACACCAAACTGACTATGATGCTCTCATCGTCTTCTGGTTCCGAATCATCCAAAATAGTTAAAAGGGCTATCTTTTTGGTTTCACCTGTTAAAAACAACAAAATAAAAACCAAAATAATAGCATCACCAACATAGAGACTTGGAAAAGTTCAAAATAACTTCTATTTTGGAAACTTAAGTAAAGGGCCAGCAACTGGCATGGAGTTTGTTAAAGTGCTGGATCCCACATGGCCAACTGCAGTTTGAGTCTTGGACCTGTGACATGGAAATCACACAGGACACGTGTGTGCATGCCCACAAGCCAAAGAGGAGAACAGAGAAGAAGGGATTGCAGTGTGGACATTCTCCCTGAAGGGAGGAGTAAATTTTCACTTTTCTTCTCTCTCTCTCTCTGGCAAGTGTATATACCCTATACCAAATACTAAAAAAAAGTTAAGTAGTAAGAATGTGTGATTTACAATCACATGAAATATTAGCACTACTATAATCAAATTTTCTATGTTAATCTAAATGATCTTTTCACACATAAAGCACTGTGAAATTTCATTAATGTAGGAAGATTGTGGACAAGGATAGTTTGGAGTATGAAATAGTTAAAAGTGGAATTATTTAAAGAATTATGGCTTTAGAGCGGGGTCTTTTTTTTTTTTTTTTTATAGGTTTTTGCTACAAGGCACATGTGCTCGCCAGAAAGACAGAGAGAGACAGAGAGATAGAAAACGAGAAATCACACCCCAGAAGGGATGGCCACGCCACAATCCCGTCTCCTCCATTCTCCTCTCAGGATCTTGGGCACGCATGCACACGCACCCGGTGTGAGTTTAAGCCACCGGGTCCAGGATTTGAACTGCGGTCAACTACATGGGAGTCCAGGGACATAGCCATTACGCTAAATGCTGGTCCCAGAGCAGGGCCTTTTCAGCCAAGAACAATATTCTAGCCTTGAAAACAGCTTCTGCTTAGAAAGTTTCCTATAAGAGAGTGAAATTTCATTCTCATTAGCATTACTGCAAATAACTTGAATAAAGTATTCAACCCAATATATCCTTGAAAGACCAGGAGCACTTAGGGAATGGCAGTAAGAACTGAGAACAGAAGGAGCAGCTGGCATAATGCTGCATCGCAGGACTCCCATATAGTCAACTACAGTTCAAGTCCCAGAGCCAGTGGCTTAAAAAACTCACACCAGCATGTGTGTGTACATGCCCAAAATCCCAAGAGGAGAATGGAGGGGAAGGGACTGCAGCATGGCCATTCCCCTGTGGGGTGATGTCTCACTTTCTGTCTCTCTCTCTCTAGGGAGCACCCACCCCACAGCAAAAATATCTCTTAAAAAAAAAAAAATGAACGGGGATTTCTTCTGCCTCCAGACTCTGTGCATCTTGCAGAGCTTCCAGCAGCGCAAGGCTGAGACAGAGTATCCAGAGGTTCACGACCTCCCTGGTCTGTAGGAGCCACTACGAGGAGGGCCTAGGGAAGAGTGCCATTTTCAGTGGAAAACAAATGACAGTTACTCAATATTCGGCATACAAACTGAATATTTCAACTTTGTACTTTGGATTTGCTGCACCTTTCTTTATAGTACGACTTAAAGCTGCTTAAGAAATAAAGCTGTATTAATTCATTCATTTAATAAATATGAAGAACATTTTAAGAGGTGCAGTGATCAAACCCTTAAAGTTATAGTATACTAGATATGTTTGTAAATAAACTTATGAACTGAATGCTTAATTCCTCTTTTCTGAAGTAAGGATATGATAAATTGAACATGTCCTTACTTTATTGGGGGGGTAATATTACCAAATGAGTTTCTTCATGAGGAATAATGTGTGCTTTATCTTGTTTTTATGGCCATAAATTCCAATAATTTAATTTTAATGACTATGTCAGGATCATGTTGGCCGTATATGTTATAAAAGAGAAGCACAAATCTGATTTGGGTTCTGTAATTTTTAATTTAAAGGGAGAAAAGAATAATTTTAGTCTTCCCCTGTGAAGGGATAAATTGTTTCTCTGTGAGTGATAGACCATCACGAGAAAAACCAATACTGTGTACATATCAAATTTCTAGTTGATGACTTGAGAACTTCATTTTTTTCCCTCTAGGCCTATAACCTGAAATTTTTGCCTTGATAAATGTACTAGTCACAAGTATTAGTCTTGTTTAGTCTGAATAAAAGTAAAATATTTTAAATGTTAAAAAAAAAAGAAATCAGGAACAGAAAAAGGATGGAAAATTCTGAACAAAAGAGCCAGCCTGAATGAGGCGGGTCTTTGGGTAACTAGGTGAGAAGACAGCATCAAGGGCCAGTTTGCAGGAGGTAGTAAGGAAGGTGGCAGGAGAGGCTCCAACAAGGGACATACGATCTATTTTGCAACTGGATCCAGGACCCCGCTAGTCCACAGGGTACCACTGAACATCCCTAAACCCAATACTGCTATTACTGCTCAGCCTCAGAGGTACCCTACTTTTGTAAAGAGTACGAAAAGTAAAGGCAGGGAAACGAGAGAAAAATATAAATGCATGGCGTCTCTCTCGTGACCTTGGTGCACTTTCATCAACACAGCAGTGCCAGATTTTTTGAAAGGCCTGTGTCATAGCGCAGTGGTCAGACACTGTGCATGATGAGCTGGATCCCACAAAGTCAACTGCATTATGAGAGTCCCAGCTCCAGTGCCTTGAAAACCTAACCAAGTCTCCATGCATGCCCAAAATTACGATGGAGTGGAGAAATGGAAGGAAAGGGATTGCGGAGTGAATGTGTCCCATTGGGAGTGATTTATCTTTCTCTCTTTCTCTCTTATGTTCTCATGAGTACATGTGTCCTCTGACAATTTAAAAAAAAAAAAAAAAAAAAAAAGGACTGCCTTGGGGCCAGTGGGTGCCCTGGTTGTTAAGGTGCTGGACTCCCAGGTGGTTGACTGCAGTTTGAGTCTCACACTAGACATGTGCAGCTTGAAACTCACACTGAACGTGCATGCACGTGCGACCAAAGTCACCCGGGGAGTGATTTCTCTCTTCCTCTCTCTCTCTCTCTCTCTCTCTCTCTCTCTCTCTGTCTCTCCAGTGAGTGCACATACCATAGGGCAAAAATCTCTTAAAAAAAGAAAAGAAGAGAAAAAAAGACGGCCTCAAAAAAGTTATAGTATCTAAAACTCAAGATGAGCTATAAAATAGCTCCATTTTACGTGATGCTAAAGTTACAAGTCAAGGGAATAATCATTTCTATAGTGTCATGACTTTATATAACTTTTTTTGAATTATCAAAGTCAAGCCATTGGAAAAATCTAACTTTTTTTTTTGTTAAGTTCATTTTTTCTTTCTTTCGAATGAGAGAGCTACCCCCAACATGGTCCCCTCTCCACAATCCACTCCCAGTCGCAATTATTTCACTATTCCCCAATTCATTTCCTGGGAAATAACCACTTTAGAAATGTTCTATACTAGTTCTAAAGTTTACTCTAAACGTAATATTCAGTCGATCTTTTTAAAAGTACACTCTATATGTACCATGACTTTAATTATTGGGTCATCAGAAAATGGAAAATGGAAACATGGGTAAACGTCAATGGAAAAAATGCATCATGATTTTTTTCTTTATTTTTTCAAGAATTACTTATTCAATCTTATTTATTTATTTAAGTTTGGCCAGAGAGAGAGAGAGAGAGACAGAGACAGAGAGACAGAGGGAAGATGGGCAGGTGAGAAAGTAAGCCACCAGGTCCAGAACTGGAACCACAGTCAGTCATGTAGGAATCTAGCTCGCTAACCACCACACCACCTGCCAACCCCAAGCCATGACTTTCCTGACAACCTAATAGTTTCCAAAAAGTGATATCCATTTAGAGCCAACACTCACCTTCAGCAAAAGTCAAAATTTCTCCAGCACCTATAAAATCTAAACCTTCAGTAGCTGTTCCACCAACAACACGCCATTCAACGGTCACCTGACCCAAGCTGCCCCCTGTCCTGTGAATCATCAGCTCCACCAGGCCTTGGGGCTGCTCCTGAACTTCAACAAACAAGCCATCTTCTGAGGTATTGGGACTAATACTGTAGATCACAAACACTCCAAAGGCGTCACCATTTAGGGCTATGACAACTGTAGAAGTATTTGGCTGTCCTATGGTTGGCTGATTGTTAAAACTGGCTGTGATGTTCATGAGATGAACTTCAAGGAGAGAAATTAGGAAACTCTCATCCATCTCTGGGAAGTCATCAGGAAGAATAGAAACTGTGAGATTCGCAAATTCGTCACCTTCCAGCATTATGGCCCATTGCCGAGTCACAGGCTCATAGTCACTACCAGCCACAGCCTGACCACTAAAAAGAGACGCTACCCTGGTCATGTTTTTTCTGTACGTCCAGAAGTCTGAACTGTTGACCGCTGGGGTGATCCATGATGTCATCCAAAAACACTGGGGACCCTCAGAGTCACTAAAAAATGAAAATGCTGAACAAGCGTGTTCTCTGAGGCACAGCGTGGCACAGGTATACCGGGGTTCCCCCACTGCAGAGACGTTCACCCACGTCCTCCAAAGCGGGTCAGGTACCCCTTGAATTGGCGATTCATAGTAGGAAAGCAGATCTTGACCTTCTTCGACTGCCAGAGTCACTACATCAATATCGGAAGTATTGTAGAACAACAAGAGCCGACCAAAGAGCCCTCCGCTAAAATGTGGAGTAACAATTAAAAGACAGGTTAGGCACTCAGAGTAATCTATAGACACACACAGGAAGGGAAATGCTGATAGTGGTTTTCAAGTTTTGTAAAAATGGTTACGGTACCAGTAAAAACGTAACTGTATTTCTTGGTTGCATTTCTTTTTAGCCCTTTTATTTTCTCACACAAGGAAACCTTGCTAGTTTCCAAACAAACGAGACTTATTTTTTAACCATTCTGTAACAGTATATTGTAAGGTATGCAAATTGTGTCTATTTCAGAATTACCAAATAAAGCTAAAAAAAAAATCATTTTCATTACTAGATTTCACTGCAAGAAACAATGAAAACAGCATGAGCACAATAGAGAAAATTTAATTTGCCACAAGGTCCTAAGAGTCTCTATGAAGAGACTTCAAAAGTTCATAAAAAGTGTATATTAAGAAAAAAAATGCATGAATCTCATATTTTGCACCAAAATAAACTCATGCTTTAATTCCATTTTCTCACAAAATATCTAAAGTACCATCATATTTTCTATTTCTGAAGATGCCCAATAAACACTACACTGCCCCCCCCCAAAAAAAAATACAGGAAAAACAGAATCTGAATATCAACCATTTCACACAGCACCAGTATGAAATGTTCTTTAATTTAGACACCAATTAAATTTAAATTCTAATTATAAGGAATCACAGATTAAAGTAATAAAGTTCTAGGATTAGAAAATATAATAATGTATACCCATTCCACTAGTAATAAATATGACAAAGATGAAGTATTTTTACATTAATAGGCATAATTAAATTAATACATTTTAATAACTGACAAAGTGGTTTACAGTGTAGAAAAACCGCCAAAATGTAAACTATTTAATTGTGCAAGGGATTCTTCCCCATCAGCCCACAACTTCCATCGCTCCCACGTAAGCAAGCAACCGTCACATATACCTTCTCCTGACTGTTATGTTAGCACAGGAACTTCTCTCCAGAGGCTCTTGAACACGGTAAGCCGACTGAACAAAGGCTACTGTACCGTAAGGGTTATCATTGGCGGGAATAATAATACTTGCCACTCGATCTAACCCAATAGTACCTCCACCAGAGGAATCAATTAGTTGCACTTGGATAACCTAAAAATATAGTGAAAACTTCCTTAACAGCATCCCAGTTCTGAAATTAGAATAAGAATGATGCAGGGGGAAAAAAATCAAACATATACATACAAGTAAAACAACAAAATGGAATGAAATATAGACTCAAAGACTTTCCCCCAATTACATTTACAAACTCAGAACATAACAGAATATTACCCATCATCTTTTAATAATAGAGCATGATTACATACAAGTAGAAGCTATTTAAATTCCTTAATATTCAATTATATAATCATGCGCATCAATTTTAAAAATCCTCGTTTATATTTACAATTTCATTAACATGACTTTTATGTCCTATACCTTTTTTTATTTACAGAAAATACTGCATATATATTTTAATAGTTTGCCTATCATGCTTTCCCACATTATCTTAAAAGGAAAATGTCTGACCCTTTTGAAAAAACAATGTAATACACTGTAAAGTTATATGTAATCCAATGTAATATAAAGAAGATTAGGATGATAATAAAAATTTTTTTTTAATTTTAAAAAAGGAAATTGTCTGACAAAATTTTAAATGAAAAAAAAGTCATATTGCAATGTCACCTAAGTTTAGCAAGAATGAAAGAGAAATGCATAATAGGATTTTAAAAAGAATAAGGACACAATTAGTATTCAAAAGAAATTTTATAGATGTCTATAAAAATTTGATACTATTAATGGTATTAAAAGTAATGTTATCAGACCTAGACTTTAAAAATACTTGAATCTCATAAAATAAAATTATCTTCAGCTAATATTTGTTTGTGATGAATCAATTTCCTACTGTCCTTATTTGCTGCTTCTTCATAAAATAAGGAAGCTGTATCTAACGTGGTTATTTATCATAAAATAAATTTTCGATAATGGTTGAAGAACAGATGAATGAACAAATGGAAAATCAATCTACCCTTAACTAAGACTGATTAATATGCAAGCAAAAAGAGAGTACTGACACAAATTAAGAGTTTATATGGATCAAATGTAGTTAAAATTATGATACAATTTAATGACTTAACCAAAATGTTGAAAAATAAAATGTAATTATACTAAAAAATTCATACTAATAAACCATCATGTGTACACCATCTATTTCTAGAATATTCCTGGTTTTGTCATCTGTAAGGATCACTTTCACACTACCATATTTTGAACATTCTTACAGAAATAATCTGACACACTCTCTAAAATGTCACAACGACCATCTGCTCTAGTCACTACAACACAAGGTGTGATTTACAGTGTCATTCTATACTAGCCATTCCTCTCACCTCTTCAATCTCCGGAACGTCGTCAGCCAGGACCTCTAACAACAAGGTTTGAATGGTTTCCCCAGGGGCAAAGGTCACATTACCTGAGACAACTCGCAGGTCGCCAGTAGCAAGCTGTCCATTAATGGTGGCAACCCACTGAACAGTAACATTGCCGAGTGTCCCAGAATTTCGAATTATGGGCAGGTTTACCTTCACTGAGTTAAACTCAGGTTCCTCTACAATAAGTTTAGTAATCTGAAAACCTGAAGGGCGAACAGAGAAGAGTTTGTTTCAAATACAAAGTAAAACCAAGTCAACACAGAGCTGACCAAGGGCCATGCTCTAGTGGATTCTTCTTCCTCCTATATAATCTAGAAGTCATACCCCACAAAATCTGAGTAACCTGCTGTGACACAAGCTGGTCGGGCCTGCCAAAATTTCCAAATTGTTTTTCACTGCGACAGAAGCAGAAATCTAAACTCAGATGGTCATGGGGTCAGGTACCTACCAGACCTGAGTACGCCAAGTCCCATGAACTCTCACAAACCACAAGCTTGGTCCGGGGGACAGTTGCTCTTTTGCCCCCATGACTCCTTCTATGCAGGCAGAGGGGCTTGGTGTTACCAGATTTCCCTATTTATCAAGAAAGCCCAGAAATCTGGATTTTTGTATGAATTTTCTATAAATCAAATTATTTTTTTTCAAAGAATTAGATAAACTCAGAAAACACATCAAGGAACGAGATCTGATGCAAAAGCCAATCATGTGTGACTTCTATATATGTAGTAAGAAGCTGATTTACTTTCCGTAGCTTAACGACTATTACTATTAACCACAGCCAGTGACAACAGACAGATGTCTTATTCATCAGTAATAGCAGGTTCAAACAGAAATCAAGATCGACTCAATTCTGAGCCTCTAAAATAAAGAAAAGGAAGGTCACCATCCCTGAGCTATACAGACAAGTACAAGAGAGACACAAAGTCTTAGTCTGATTACCAAATAACCCATAGGGGTCATCGGAGGCCTCAATAATAATGACTGCCTCTGTCAAAGCCCCCAGCTTGGCTCCTCCTGTGGTTTCATTCAGCAACTGCACAAGAAAAGATTCTTCCAGCTCAGGGTAGATGTCGTTGATGATATAAATTGGCACAGCTTTGCTGGTTTCCCCTTCCAGCAAGACCACATCTGATGATGCTATACTGTAATCTTCACCTGCAGAGACAGAGAGCTGAATGCTAAGGTTTATTCCAAAATATGACAATAAATATTCCACATACCAGAGAAACACTATTAGTATCAAACTTAATGAATATACTTGGAAAGACGTTTTTGAGAATACAGGCTAAAAGAAGGAGCTTTGTGTCTCGTCAATGAATGGGAAAAGGAGGGATGTCCCCTAAGGAGACTGAGGGCTAATTTCTTAGAACACTGACCATCCCATGTCATCTGTCAATCTGTAAGATACCCCCCGCCAAGTTAGCCAGACATTCCTAGGGACTACTCACATCTCAATATGTCAGCACACACTCAACTACACACACACACACACAAGTCACGGAGACTGGTTTATCATCTTTTTAAACAAGGATCACGATCTGGTTTTTATCTTAGGCATGATCTTACATCCATGCACTGTCCTGTTCCTTTCCGTGCACACTACAACCTTTCTACGTGGATCACTCAGAGGCAAGTCTCCCTCTAGAAGCTGAACTGCACTACGAAAGAAGGCAGTAGTTTCCTAATGGCTGTGTTAGGTGACAAAATCATTTGCTTTCACTTAAAATAGATCATTCTAACCACTGCCTCTTCCATGTTCTTCATAAGGAAATTAGTAAGTAAGACTGAGGGGGTATGGAGCGAGGCTGATGCCATAAATTGAATCAAACGGCTGCTCATTTTCCTGTATTCCTCAGCAGCCGTTTAGCTTGTGAATTCATACAGATTTTCCAATACTTTTCACAGGTTCTACAAATTCAGTGTCATACAGGTTTCAAAACTTCGGATGTGTGCCTGTAAAAATATACAGGAGTGAGGTTGTTTTTAGTTGAGTCTCTAACTGCATCCTTGCGTGGCTTTGTTTTTTTTTGTTTTTTGTTTTTGTTGTTGTTGTTGTTGTTTTATAAAGTAACTTTTTTTTATTTTTATTTATTCATTCATTTATTTTAATTTGACCAGAGAGAGACAGAGAGGGAGAGAAAGTGGGAAAGTAAGCCACCAGGTTCAGGACTTGAACCATGGTTGGCCATGTGGGAGTAACCAGCGCCTTAACCACCACGCCACCTGCTGGTCCCGCGTGGCTTTGTTAATCAGGGTCCATGTCCCTCTAAAACCCTTCACTGCACCTTAGATGTCTTTTCTTACCAGCGATTGCGGTTATCGGCACAGCTTTAAACTTCACAGAAACATCTGCAAACGCTCCTCCTGTCCTAGTCACGTTGACAATGGGCCCAACATGATTTTCTGCCACCCGAACAACTGGCGCAGAGAGCTGAAGAATTCCAAATGCATCATCATTGGCAATGATGATTAGATGGGCAATGGTTTCTGCCTTAGGCCCAAGGCGAGGGGAATTTGGAACTGAAAGAGAAAAGAAAAGCTAATTTACCAAAATTCTAAGAATCGGCCAAAAGTCATCAAAAAGCTTCAGGAAGTTGGGGCCGGTAGGTGATGTAGTGGTTAAGGGTGCTGGACTCCCAAATGGCTGACCATGGTTCGAATCCCAGACCTGGCAGCTTGCTTTCTCATTTTCCATCTCTCTCTCCTCTCTCTCCTTTCTCTCTCTCTTTCTCTCCTCTCTCTCTCTCCTCTCTCTCTCTCTCTCTCTTCTCCTCCCCTCTTCTCTCCTCCCTCCCCCCTCTCTCTCTCCTCTCTCTCTCTCTCTCTCTCCTCTCTCTCCTCTCTCTCCCCCTGTCTGGTCAAATTAAAATAAAATAAATAAAGTTAAACAAAATAATTATTTTTAAAAACGTTTCAGGAAGTTCTATCAGCCAAATGGGGTGCTCACTGAATGTTTTCTCTCTACTATTTATATTTTAAAATATTTACCAGCATTAGTCTAGATATCAGGAATACAAGAATAAATAAAAAGTCCCTGTTCTCTTGTAGCTTACATCACAGGGAGTTAGTTGTTTATTTCTTTCATGAAAGAAAGAAAGAAATAGAAAGAGACAGACAAATCCCTGACAAGGTCTCACCATGCTGTAGTTCCCTCCATCCCTCCCCAGGTTTCTGGCCAGCCTCAAACACAATGGCAGACAAGCCCAGCATGCTCAGATGGGCCTGGGACCCAAAACCAGAGCCTCCCATATGGCTCCAACACCCCACTGCAGTGTCTTGCCACCTGTGCCACCACAACGAGGCCTATAGGGAGGTTTTTCAAATAAAATCCTTGGGGCCAAGACATGACATAGTGGTTATGTCACTGGACTCCCACATGGCCAACCATGGTTTATGTCCCAGACCTGGGGGCTTGAAACTCACACCGGGCATGTGTGCATGTGTGCCCAAGATCCTGGAAGAGAACAGAAGAAAATGGACTGTGGTGTGGCCATCACCCCAGGAGTGATTTCACACTTTCCAATTCACTGTCTCTATCTCTCACTCTGGCGAGCACATGTGCCCTATGACAAAAATCTCTTTTAAAAAGAAAGAAAGAAAGAAAGAAAGAAAGAAAGAAAGAAAGAAAGAAAGAAAGAAAGAAAGAAAAGAATCCTTAACAAATGAACAGTTCTTCTACAGGAACTTTTTGTTTGATTGGTTGGTTTGTTTCATTTGGGGATTTTTTAGAGTTTTTTTTTTTAACAATTATTTAATTGTATTTATTCATTCATTTATTTTAATTTGACCAGAGACAGAGAGGAAAAGTGAGAAAGCAAGCCACCAGATCTGTGACCTGAACCATGGTCAGCGATGTGGGAATGTCCAGCACCTTAACTACCATTCCACCTGCTGGCCCCATTTTTAAGAGAGATTTTTTGCTATAGGGCGTATACACTCATAGGGCAGACAGACATAAAGCAAAAAAATCACCCCCAGGGGGAAGGGCCATGATGCAATCCTTTCTCCTTCATTCTCCACTTAGAATTTTGGGCACCTATGCACACACGTTTCAAGTCTCCAGGTCTGGGACTCAAATTGCTGTTGGCCATGTGGGGGTTCAGAAACATAACTATTATGCCACCTGCTGGCTCCAGTTTGCTTTGTTTTTTCTTTGCTTGTTTGTTCATTTTTTAGACGGTACATGCACTTGCCAAAGAGAAACAGACAGAGACGGGGAGGGAAGAATCCCCACCCTCCATGGGGAATGGTCATGCCACCATCCCTTCTCCTTGATCTTTTCCTCCTTTCTGGATTTTGGGTACACATGCATACATACTGACGTGTTTCTCAAGCCACTGGGTCCAGGACTCAAATTACAGGGTCACCATGCAGGATTGGGCTGCCTTAACACTAGACCAGGAAGCCGGCCGCAGGTATATTTTATTAAGTACTGGAAATTGATCAAAAGGAAAAAATAATTAAAACAGTATTAACTGGGCCAGCAGGTGACATAGTGATTAAGGCAATGGACTCCCCCATGGCCGTCTATAGTTTGAGTCTTGGACTCAGCAGCTTAAAACACAGTGGGCATGTGTGGTTCCGTGCCCAAAATCCCGAGAGGGAGGATGGAGAACAAGAGATTGCAGTGTGGCCATCACCTCTGGGGGGTGATTTCTCGCCTTCTATCTCTCTATTTCTCTCTCCCTCTCTCGATCCAGCAAGTGTACATGCCCTATAGCGAAAAATCACTATATATATATATATATATATATATATATATTTATAAAATTATCTGTTGATAATATATGTATGGTAATATCTTTGGGCTAATATACAATGTATTCTGGATAGAAAAATTTATTTTGTATATGTAATGATATACAGTGATTGACTAAACTTTAAGAACTTTTTAAAAACATGGATATAATTAATCATTTTACATAATACTACAATAAAGAGACCTACAGATTTACGTTATTTTTCTTTTTAATTTTTTTTTAAGAAAGATATTTTTGCTATAGGGCACGTACACTCACTCACCAGAGAGACAGGAGAGACAGAAAGCAAGAAATCACACCCCCACCAGGGAGGACAGCCATTCCACAAATCCCTTCTCCTCCAGTCTCCTCTAGGGATTGTGGACATGCATGTACATACATACGCCAAGCATGAGTTTTAAACCACTGGGTCCGGGTCTTGAAGCGCAGTTAACTATGTAGGAGTCCAGCAATGTAACCATTATGCCATCTGCTGGTCCCAGATTTATATTATTTTAATTATTCTCCTCCATGTCTATTTCTTTTTTATATTTTTTGGAGAGGTTTTTGCTATAGGGCATGTGCGCTCACCAGACAGAGAGAGACAGAGAGACAGAAAGTGAGAAATCACCCCCCTGGGGGGATGGTCACGCCGCAATCCCTTCTCCTCCATTCTCCTCTCGGGATCTTGGGCACGCACGCACACGCGCCCAGCATGAGTTTAAGCTACTGGATCCGGGATTCAAACCGCGGTCAACTACATGGGAGTTTAGCGACATAGCCATTACGCCAACTGCTAGTCCCCATGTCTATTTCCATTACAGAGTAGAAAGGTAAAGTATTGACCTCCAAGACCAGCTGCACATCATCAGAACCTAGTTAAATTCCTGCCTCTAACTGCTTCAATGCCTTCTCTGACAAATCTGCTCTTCCCAATCTCAGCTAATAGAATCACTGAACTACCTCATTGCTATGGTCTGAATGCTTGTGTTCCCCTCAAAATTCATAAGTTGAAATCCTAACCCTCCACTTGATAGTATAATTTTAGGGACAAAAGACTTTGGGGGCGATTAGGTCGGAGTAGTAATGTCCTCATAAATGGAATTAGTGCCTTTATAAAAGAAGCATGAAAAACACTACCTTCCACTTTCCATCATGTCAGGACACATCAAGAAGGCATTACTGGGAACCATCAGTTAGCATAATGGCTATGTCACTGGACTCCCACGTAGCCGACCGCGGTTCACGTCCTGGACCCGGTGGCTTAAAATTCACGCCGGGTGCGTGTGTGTGCGTGCCCAAGATCCCGAGAGGAGAATGGAGGAGAAGGGATTGCGGCGTGGCCATTCCCCCTAGGAGGGTGATTTCTCGCTTTCTGTCTCTCTGTCTCTCTCTGTCTGTCTGGTGAGCGCACACGCCCTATAGTGAAGATCTCTCCAAAAAAAAAGAAAGCACTACTGGCTCAGCCTCTGTGGTGGAGTTGTACCATACTGTATTATGGAGCCAGAAGCCATTTGCCAACTGAGGTTCAAATCCCTGGCCTGGTCAGCCCGAAAACATGCAGGGTTCATTGATACATGCCCAGGACCCTGGCAGGCTAGAGGCTTGCAGGAAGAAGACCACAGCATGACCAAGTCCTATGGAGTATACTCTCTCTCTCTCTCTCTTTCTCTCTCACCTCTACCATGAATAAAAATAGATAAATAAATAAGGCACTAACTGGGTGCCAGACAGTCGCACAATAAAATGGGTTGCTCTGCAAGTCAGAATCACTTGAGAAGTTGCCAGATGACATCCACAGATCCCTCTGCTAAGTACATTCAGCATATGTAGGCCCATAAAGCCCATACTCTGGGCTAACTGAGGCTGGGGGTAGACCGTACTATCAAAACTTTGTCAAGGGTGCTATACATCTGTCTGTCTCTTTCACTCATGGAATGAGAGAGATAATATATAACGACCTGTTGAGGCAGATAATGGAAGCCCTATCCTAAACAGGAACCACGAACTAGAAAGCAATCCTTCACCAGACACAAAATTGCTAGAGCCTTCTTCATCTTGGACTCCCCAGCCCCCAGAACAGTAAAAATGAATTTCTGTTGTTTATTAGCCATCCAGTTTAGTCTGATAATCAGCCCCAATAGAGTAACAGTACATAGACCTGAAATCAGTCAGCTTCAATATTCCATCAACACACTGCTGTAAGAGTGTGTTCAGGCTGACTCCATGGCCTGGTGATTAAGGCATCCAGTGCCCACATGGTCAGTCCTGCTGGTTGAGTCCCAGACCCAGCAGCTTGAGAAAAACACCGGGTGTATGTGCATGGATTCCTGAAATCCCTAAAGGAAGGAGAGACGGAGGATCAGGGATTACAATGCGATCATTCCCCATGGGGTGGTGCTTTCTTCTCTCCCTCTGTCTCTGGCAAGTGCACATGCACTCATACAAAAAAGGGGGGGGATAATCTACTCACTAATTTTAAGCCTTCCTTCTTACTATCTACTGATTTCGGCGAGAGTAAAGCAGATTTTGAAGGCGTCTAGGGCCCTCTACAAACTCTCAACTGACTTATTTTCTAAGTTCAGTTCCAACCAATATAGTACATTTATACTGCCAAAAACAATATACAAAGTGACCTTCTAACATAAATTAAGCATTAAAAAGTTCTTATTAAAGCTAAGCTATTTGGAATCCACATTCAGAATACTCTGACAATTGCAGTATTTGGAAGTCTGTGACTATGAATAAAATTTAACATTTCGGACATTTAACTAAAAACTGATAATACCATTTAATTTCAATAATATAGGACAAGATTATCCTAAATTATATCATAACCAAAATCATAAATTATGAGTCAACATAATTAAATTCAATTATATTAGAAAATGGCAGTAACATAGCATTGCAGCAGCAGGTGACATTTTCTTTTAAGATTATTTTATCTATTATTATTTTTTAATTTGACCAGAGAGGGAGAGAAAAAAGGAATGTGAGAAATCAAGCTGCCAGGCCTAGAACTCAAACTGCAGTCGACCATGTGGGAGTTCAGCACCCCAACCACCATGCCACCTGCTGGTTCCCAAGTGACATTTTTTTGAGAGTGGTCTACATGTCATTGTTCCAAAAAATTTTGTGTTTTAAGTCATTAATTCCCACACAGTATTGGTGAGTAGGGAACACAATGCTTTACAGATGAGGAATGAGGGGGACCGAGAAGATGGGAAATTACCTAAATTCTTATGCTAGACACAATCAGGAGGCATCTATGGGTTTGCCTAGTCTCCTTCTCCCTCACCAAACCAGGTAGAAAGTCTCCAGTTTCCAAGACCACCAAGCCTGCCCTATGCCTGCCCTGCCCTGAGCCTTTGCCCCAGTGCTGACAGCCAGCCTTCTCAAGCTGCTCTCCTTACTCATGAAAGGTGATGATCACACTCAGAGTAGCAAAGACCCTGTCAGGTCCTGTACTGATTCTGCCTACTAAATTCTGAGTCACACAGATTTGCACTTAATTTTATAATTATCCCATATCATAGTTTGATGCCTATTCTGAATCACTGCAAGTATGCTGCTTAGTTCCAGGAACACGGCAATTATAAAATACATGCCAACAGTTTCTCCCAACCCACAACACACAGATACTCTGCACAGACCATTTGATTAATAACAATTGCCCATGGAACCAGCAGATGACATAATGGTTACATCGCTGGACTCCCTCGTAGTTGACCGCAGTCTAAGTCCCAGATTCAGTAACTTAAAACTGAAGCTGGGTGCGTGTGCATGCACAAAATCTCGAGAGGAGAATGGAGAAGGAATTGGGGCATGGCCAAGCCCCCTGGGACGTGATTTCTCGCTTTCTGGCTTTCTGTCTCTCTCTCTCTCTTTCTCTCCGGTGAGCATACATGCCCTACGACGAAAATGTCTTAAAAAAGTAATAATTGCTCACATTTATTGAACTTACCATCTGCCAAATGCCAAATTAATTTTGCTCTATACCAACATATTTAACTCTCCTAATATTTCTATATTGTAGATAAGAAAACTGGGGCTTGAAGAGGGTATGTTCAAGTGATTACTTCTACACATTGAAATTAAGCTGTCTGACACCAATGCCCACAGCTCCTAGCCACTATTACATGCGATATTCACTCTTCTCCCTTCCTTTTCCTTCCTCTTCCTTCCTCTTTCTTTCTCCCTTCCTTCCTTTCTTCCTGTCATTGGCAGAGCGCATGTGTGCTCACTAGAGAAAAAGAAAGTACACCCTTAATGGGACATGGTCACACTGCAATCCTGCTTCTTCCATTTCTCCATCCTGTGAGGATTTGGAGAACCCAAGCACATGCACCCAGCATGATTTTCAAGCTGTTTGGGCAGGAATTCGAGCCACAGTGAGCCAGATGGAGTCCAGCTATCGAGCCATAGTTCTTAACTGCTACCCTAGAGGGTTGGCCCCGTCTCCTGGTTGCTCAATAAATTATGAGCTCCTTCAAAAACAAGACTGTGTGTTCTAATTCTTACCTAATAAGACTAACTATTGGGTTTTGGGTTTTATTTTAATTTATTTGATACTGTAATTAATTCTGAATTTCATTTTAAAAAGGAGGTAGGGGAGGGGCCATCAGGTGTGGTGGTTATGGTACTGGACTCACATGGTCAACCACGGACTCTCCCCCTCTCTTTCTCTGTCTGTCTCTGGCCAAATTAATCATCATTATCATAATAAAATTAAGAAAAGAGCTCGGGAGTACTGTGTGAGAATTCAACTATAATCTAAAGGTTTCATGTTAGCCGTTGTCCTATAAAGTAAGTTCCCTTCTATGACCCTGGACTACAGCTATGTGCACTGTGGACATGCCATACAGCACATGCACGAGGGTATTCCGTAAGCAAAGAAACCCACTTGTCAGAATCTTTAATCCATATGGCAGAACACAGTCAACACACCGATCTTAGAAGCTCACATTTTAGGCTATGTAGTTCCAATTTCCCAAAGAAGGTTTTGCTTGTTTTCCTAAACACCATGTCCTAAAATTACTATTAAATTTGTATCACCAATCTTTCTATTTTTATTTCCTTACTCCAGGAAATCTAGATTTTTTTTTCCTCTTTATTTAAAAACACTTCCTAGAGTTATGTGTCCTCTTAGGATGATGTGAACAAAGGGTAAACTCTACTACAGTTGCTGCATTTGGCTCCAGAAGCTCAAGTCCTGCTACCTACCACACTCAACCCACTGGGCCAAAACCCCGAGGAGAGGTCAGACAGTAAAGCAGGACATGCTGCAAGGCAGTCCCACCAGGGAAATTGCCAGTTCATGTCTGGAGACCTCCCTGAGGACACCAGGCACACATGTGTTCATGACCTGGGGCTGGCTGACTGCACTATCAGTGCCTCTCTCTTACACTCAGAAGAAAGAAACAATCTTTTTTAAAAAATTAAAATCACGAGACATGGGGCCGGCAGGTGGTGCAGTGGTTAAAGGTGCTGGATTCCCAAATGGCTTGCTTTCTCATTTTCTCTTTCTCTGTATGTCTCTCTGGTCAAATTAAAAATTAACAGGGCCCAGCAGTTGGTGTAATGGCTATGTCGTGGACTCCATGGAGTTGACTGCGGTTCGAGTCCTGGACTCGGTGGCTTAAACTCATGCCAGGTGCATATGCGTGCATGCCCAAGATACCAAGAGAATGGAGGAGTAGGGACTATGGTGTAGCCATTTCCCCTGGGGGGGCTGTGATTTCTCACCTTCTGTCTCTCCATCTCTCTCTGTCTTTCTGGCACGCATGCGCCCTATAGCAAAAACCTCTCAAAAAAATTTTTAAATAATAAAACAAATAGAATTAAATAAAGAACTCCTTTTTAAAAAGAAATAAAGAAAACCATGGAATCAGCAGATAGTGCAATGGTTACATCATTGGATTCCTATGTAGTTGACTACAGTTCAAGTCCCGGACCCAGTGGCTTAAAACTCATGCCAAGTGCACGTGCATGCAAGCACAAAATCTTGAGAGGCAAAAGGAGAAGGGATTACAGTATGGCCATCAACCCGGGGGGAGAGGAGATTTCTCACTTTCTGCTTTCTGTCTCTCTCTGTCTTTTCTGTGAGCACATGTGCCCTATAGCAAAAGTCTCCCTTAAAAAAAAAAAAAAAAGTGAAAACCATAAGGATACTGGATAGTGGACACTACTTTCCAGCAGAAGATGCCGTATCCCTATCTTCCCAAATCTCGTGGTAAACTCAGATTTTTCACAATTTCTCAAATCTAGTGGTAAGCCCAGACTTCTCACAATTTCTTACTGTTACCTAGCCCTGGCCCCCTTCTCTCATGCAGCTGACAGAGCCACATGCTCCAAGCCAATACCAAGCACTTCAGTCGGTTAGCAAATCCTCCAGAAGTGGATCGAGGTAGAGACACTCAGGTTCCTGCTACTGGAACTGTCTTTGCATTTCCGAGATTGTTTCCTAAATGTTCTGGAAGTTACAATACATAGTACAGTAGTACTAGAGCTCAGTTACACGCGGATTACCCAGAAGTGTCCGAAATTTAGTCTGGGTATGTAACCGACTCTTTTTTTTTTTTAAAGAGGTTTTTGCCTTAGGGCACGTGTGCTTGCTGGGGTGGAGAGAGAGAGAGACAGAAACAATGAGAAGGAAAGTGAGAAATCGCTCCCCAGGGAGAATGGCTATGCCACAATCCCTTCTCCACTCTCTTCCTGGAATCTTGGGTGCACACATGTGCCTGGCATAAATTTCAAGCCACAGGTCTGGGACTCGAACCTTGGTCATCCATGTGGGAGTCCAGCAATACAACCACTATGCCATCTGCTGCCCCTGTAACGGACTTTTAAAACATGATTTTTGAGAAAAAAAAGTGTGTCCCACTTTCAGCTGCCTTTAAACTTTTATATAATGCATCATATAAACTTTTATGAAAGCTTATTATTTTTATAGAATTCTCTACCATACTCAATTCTAAATTTATTTTTTTAAGATTCTTATCTCTAAACATAATATGTTAAGGAATACTTACTTGGGCGATTCTGTACTTTCTCTATTAAAGTGGAGTTGACCAGTTCGATAAGCACAGACTCCGATCTTTCTGGCTCATCATCGTCCAAAATGGAAATAGTTATTGTTGCCTCACTCTGATTAGCTCCAAAAACAGCAAATCCAGAAGCCGATATAAAGTCTCTACCCTGGGCTGCTCTGGGTAAATTAGGTGGAAAATACGGTGGTTTTTCCATATCATCCAGTGTTGCATATGAGACCATGACTGTTCCCATGAGGCCTTTCAATCTTAATATTGATAATGTGATGTTCTGGGTTGCTTCCTCAACTTCAATAGGTCTGTTTTTCTCAGAAAAGATGAATACCCCATAGGGATCATCACTAGCCAAAACTATTAATGTGGCATTAATATAAAATCCCAAAGAACCACTGGAGACGCTGAGGATTGACACAGAGAACGCCTTATCCAGTTCTGGGTCTTCATCGGGCAATATTTCCACTGTGATGTTGGCACTTGTCTGTCCGATCTCAAATGTGACGTTGCCGGAAGTGAAGGCAAGATCACCATCAGGGTCAGCGTCTATGCTCCAGTGCAAAGTGACGCGAGATAGAGTCCCGTGACTTCTCCTAACCTAAAAAGTATTTAATATTTAAACATTTTAAAATACAGACTGAAACTACTGAATTAGAGATTTACAAATGCGAAGTGATAGCAGCATAATAAATTTTATTTTATATAAGCTGCTGTCATGAGTATAAGTTCACTGAAGTTAGGGGACATATATTGCCCATCTATGAAGAGCTTCAGAGTCTTCCAAAGCAAAGGGAATGCAAAGTAGTTTCTTCATAAAACTAGAAATCGATGGAAAATTTTTAGTTTCTAATGAAATTACCACTACATATTTTGTACAGTTATAATATACACCAGCAATAAATCAAATATAGTTAACAAATTATATTTAAGTACACTCAGAAAGTTTTACATGCACTGCAAATATAGTATATAATTCATTATAAGAAATAGATAAGTGATATTTTTCTGAAAAGTTAGCTGTGAAACTTGTTTTCAGGAGCCAGCATGTGGCATGGTGGTTAAGGTGCTGGATGGCCAACTACAGCTGCAAATCCTGGACCTGGCAGCTTGCTCTCTCTCTCTCTCTCTCTCTCTCTCTCTCTCTCTCTCTCTTCCCCTCTCTCTCTCCTATCTCTCCTCTCGTTCCCTCTCTCTTTCTCATCACTCTCTAGTGGGCACACATGCCCTAAAGTAAGTTAAAAAATAATAGTGATAATAAATAAAGTTAAATAATTATTTAAAAAATCATTTCAAAACGATCCATGTTTTTTATCTTCAATATAATACGAAAAACAAATTCACATAAAAACTACATTTACCCAAGGTATATTAAGAACAAAGAAATCCTTTTGTCAAAAATATGTTAAGGAAAACGAAAAGCTCAGCCCCGGACACAGTAGCTCAGCAGTATTGCAGCCCTCCACAGCGCTGGGGCTACACGGAGGATCAAAGTGTCATTCCCGGGGCACCCTGTACATGCTGGTGGCACACGCATGCCTAAGATCCAGGTTAGTTGAGCAAGCTGGGTAGAGGACTGCAGCATGAGACCCTGTCGAAGGTGTCTTACTCCCCCGCTCCCCTTCCTCTGAGAAATAAGCTTTTTCAAAAAAAAGAAAAATGAGGGCAAGCAGGTAACATTGTGGTTAAAACACTGGATTCCCACATGGTTGTCTGCAGTTCGAGTCCCAAACCCAGAGGCTTGAAAATCACAACAAATAAATAGATAAATAAATGAATGTTTAATAAAAGTTTAAAAAAGAAAAGTGAAAAGCTTAAAAATTACTCCGGAGAGGTCTCAACTAAGAGTAATGTATATCCGTATTTAAATATGTTAGTTCAAAATAAAAGTAGAGACAGCAATTTTATAAAACTTGATCCTTTCCTTAATTATTGTTTTCTTTCCTGAGCAAATAAGTATCCTCTCTACAGTTATTGAGTTTATTCCACAACCATTTATTGAAGATCTGCCATTATGGTATAGAAGGATGTTTGGTCTTTCTCTAATTTCATTTAATTTACTAGAGGGTGCAGGCACTCACTGGGGAGAGAAAAAAGAGAGAGAGAGACTGAGAAAGTGAGAAAGCAGCCCCATAGCAGAAGGTCACACTGTTAATTCCTTCTTTTCCATTTCTCTCTCCTTGCAGGATTTTGGGCATGCATGCACATGCACCCGGAGTGTTTTTCAAACTGCTAGATCTGGGAACTGCACAGTCGGCCAAGTGAGTTCCAGCTCCCTTAATCCCCACCTGGCCCAAGTGGTATTTTATTTGTATAAAATCTGAGGAGGCTGAGCAAACTTCCAGATTCTCTGAGTCACTGAATAACAGAATCCTTCTTAGTTCCAACTGGAACAAAGCAGGGTGAACAACACACACACAGCAAAGAGTCGTTAGTGCTGTTCAAAAATCTTTTAAATGTTCTTTCCTTCTAAAACTCCACTTCACTCATTGCCAGCAGGCATGTGGCCAAGCAACTTGCTTTGACCAAAGAAGTATAAGTGGAAATGATGCAGATCACCGCCAGGAACAAGCCGTGAGAGCCAGTATGCAGTTCACAACCATATTCCCCACCTCCATGAAGACAAAGTATCTGTTAAGTAGCCTCTGACAATCTTGGTTCCTAGAGTGACTCATGAACAGAGTCCTTGACAACTTAACTTGGACATGTACTATGAGTGAAAAACAAATCTTTGCTGTATTTAAATTTTGGAGATATTTGTTACCACAGACTATCTGAAATAATACAAATATCTGTGTAAAGGGGCTGGCAGGTGGCAGGGTGGTTAAGGGTACTGGACTCCTACATGGCTGACCACAGTTCAAGTCCCTCCATTGCTTTCTCAGTTTCTCTCTCTCTCAGACACACACACACACACACACACACACACACACACACACACTGTCCCTCTCTGGTCAAATTAAAATAAATAAATAAATGGATAAATAAAGTTAAATAAAATATTTTTTTAAAAATCTATAAAAAATAAATACATGCAGTACAGCTCCACAGCTCCACTGTTTCTTAAAGGGTTAGAAATCGTCAGAATAATAAAATCAATCCAAACGCAAAACTAAACACAAAGGCAAATGCCACGTAACTATTTGGTTATCAGTTTGTGTTGTCTGTACCGACAAGCTCATGACTATACAGAGACAAGAAGATATAAAATCACTCTCCTAATACAATAAAGCAGTTTCTAAAAGAGCAGAAAGTATTCAGAAACAAAAGCAGAAAGTTACTCACATTTAATACAACAGTGCTATCCCCCTCTTCTGGTTCCGTTCCCCTGACAAAGAGTGACTCAGGGCTAAATTCAAATATGCCGTGAGCATGGTCAGAGGCAGCAATTGTCACTAGGATTTGGGAAGCCACTCCTAAACTGGCTGCACAAGTTCCAACAAAAAGCAAAAAAAAAAAAAAAATAAGGTTAATCAGTAATTTACAAACCAAAAGAAAAGCCAAGCTTGGAACAACTTTTTCAAAGAGTTCTTCTTTTCATTGTGGAGACATTCTAATTTGCACATGTGTACCACATGTATTCATGCTTTTATGACCTTTTCCTACTCTGGCATCAACATGATACAGAAATCTGCATAAGCACTTGGAGATAAATAAGGAAAACTTGTTTTTCGTTTTCATCTCTTTGAAAGAGAACATTCTCCCACATAGAGTACATGAGGAAGGTCTCCCAAAACCCCAGCTGACCTCAAAAGAACATGGGCCAAATGGATTCTTACCCTTATGAAACAGTAGTTTCCCTATGATTTTAGTCATTTTGAGTGAAATCAAAAACCAATTCTTGATCTCCAGTGTGAGTTAACACCAGACCTAATTTTTCATGATATCATGATATTAATTTTTATCTCTCCTTATCCCAAATAGTCCAATCGCGTAACTAAAAAGATGCCAAGATCTAAAGAAGCATTTGTTTTTCTTTTCTAAAAGTAGATCAATTTTTATGTTGTAGAAATGTAGCAGGAGCTCAACAATCCACAAAGTAACAAAGTAATTCATACAGAGCTTACAAGAGGCACAGATGGAAGTGAGCCGTGAGTGAGGGGGACACAAGTTCTGACCCTAAAATATATAAAACCTGACACTGTGTGGAGCCAGTAGGTGACAAAACGGTTAAGGCTATGGACTCCCACGTAGACAAACAAGAGTTTGAGTCCCAGACCCTTCAAACTCATGCCAGGCAGGACATGTGTGTGTGCATGCCCAAAATCCCAAGAGAAGAATGGCGAGAAGGGACTGAGACATAGCCATCCTCCCGGGGGGGGTGATTTCTTGCTTTCACTTTCTGGGTCTCTCTGTCTCTCTAGCAAGTGCACACATCAGATAGCAAAAAAAAAAAATCTAAAAAAAATTGATACGGTGAAAAGATTTGAGAATTTTAAAGTGCTCTCTATCATGAAATGAGTATTCTCAGTATTCTATGGTGAAAAGATTTGAGAATTTCTCTATCATGAAATGAGTATTCTCAGTATTCTCTCCACATATGCAAAAAAAATAATTGAGGTAAAAAAGCCAAATCATGTGTGTATGTGATTCTTCAAAAAGCATCCTCTATAGAATACTTCCCCCATTCATCAGCAACTTATTTTCATTTTTTTCTTTCTCTTTTTTTTTCCTGTTCATTTTAGTTAAATGCTACATATTTTGGTTAAATGAACTCACGATTCTTTTTGTAAAGAAAATAAGCATAATAGGGACCAGCAGTTGGCATAATGGCTATGTTGCTGGACTCCCACGTAATTGACCATGGTTTGAGTCTCAGACCTGGTGGCTTAAACTCATGTCAGGCAAGTGTGTATGTGTGCACAACATCTCAAGAGGAGAATGGAGAAGGGACTGCAGCGTGGCCATTCCCCTGGGGGGTGATTTCTCGCTTTCTGTCTCTCTGTCTCTCTGGCAAGCACACGCGCACGACAGCAAAAACCTCTCCAATAAAAAGAAAAAAGGAAAAGAAAAAGAAAAGAAGCATAATACATTTAACATAAAAACACAAATGTTTCAGTTATTTCTTTTTAGGTATTCAAAGCTAGGTAAAATGTTTAGCAATAATCACTTTTATAAATGACATTCAAGCAAAGTATCTGCCACAATTAGAATCAGGAAATTGCATTAGGTCATACAGAACGTGGGTCTAGGAGACAGAGAGGGGTCTGATTTGGACTTGATCACTCTCCAGGTTATGATTATGATCGAGGACAGGTAACACTTCAAACAGTTGCTGTGACAGTTAATGAGATAAAACATGTCAGGGACCTACACATAGTAGGTGTCATTTAGCAGTACTGCTGTTTCAAAAATGACAGGTTAGAACAAAAACATAACAGTAAGGAAGAACTCCTTGGAAGAACTGCTTACCATGCTTGTGAATAGTTGGAAGAAAGAATTCCATGTCCCCATCACCACTACCACTGCCATCAACCCTAAAGAATTCAGCCACTTCACAAGGAGAAACACAGAGACAGAACCCACACAACACACATTGACACAATGAGAAAATTGAGAACTCTTAATACATAGCAAGCAGTGTAAAATGCAGTTAAGTAATATTCACCCAATGACCCACTCTGCCCTAGAAAATAGATCATTTTTAAATGGTAAAATTATAACACCCATCAGGCTGCCTAATTACCAAAACTTCATTCAGTTTTAGGAAATACTCTTGTGTAATACTGTACTTGGTATTTCCCATTTCTACAATTTAATTTAAATTTTTTTATTATTTAGAGCATTGTAAATTGTTTTCTAACATTTTAAGTATTTTTAAAATATTTATCTGTGTATATTACTAAACACTTAAGCCTCTACACCTACGACAATCTCCTTCCACTCCTAACAATCAATTCAAAATTAGGGAAATACAGCTAACATTCCTTCTCTCTATCCACACATTCAAACCCCCACCTTATTAACCGTTCTGAACCTTTCTCACTCTCTTGCTCCTGAGCCCCAGACGAACAATAAAAATGCTACTTCAGCCTTGACTGTGAGATGTCACAAGGTATCAAAACCTTCAGCAAGTCACTAAGCTTCGTAGTACCTCAGTTTGTCCACCTATAAAAGGTGCTGCCTTTTATAGAAATGTAAAGATCAGATAAAATACAGTAATGGAAAAGAAATAACGTTGTAAAAATGTAAAGGATGGGGACCAGCAGTTGGCATAATGGTTACATTGCTGGACTCCCAGGTAGTAGACCTCAGTTTAAGTCCCAGACCCTGCGGCTTAAAACTCATGTCCGGCACATGTGCCTGCATGCCCAGTCCTGAGAGAAAAATGGAAGAAAAGGGATTGTGGTGTGGCTATCCCTCCGGGGGGTGATTTCTCACTTTCTCTCTCTCTCTATCTCTTCAGCAAGCGCGGGCATCCTATAGCAAAAATTTCTCAAAAAAAGTAAAACACTTTAGCAATATATAAAGGCTATATAATGAGAAAGTAGTTAAACTTTTGCTTCTAATTCAACTTCACCCCCACCATTATTTTACCAAATGTTTGCAAAGTAAGAAGGAAGGACAGTGATGATGACAACAGAAAAGGAGTAAGACAGGTGAAGCCACACCCACACACAGGTTTTCCCACCTATATCCTTGACGGACATGATAGCTCAAGATCTGCCCTGCTCTTCCTTTCCCCCTCGGTAGCACTGAACTACACAAGATAAGAGAATTTATGACCCCCAGAACCTAAAATCACCATAGAGACTAAAAAGGCAGAATGCGGTTCA